TTGATCTAGGTTAGGAATTAGCCATTAGATAATAAAATGTTTCTTTATAAAGTACATTTGTATTTTATTCAGTATCAGAGGACACTTAAGGTATTCAAATATTTTAATCAGATTAATTAATATTTTACAAATTACCAAAAACCATGTTTTAAGTTATCTAGGGACAGGGCCAGAAACTGAGCCAATCAACTTTTTTATCAATGACCTAAGCAAAAATTTTTGAGCAATTTTTTTTATATCTCATCAAAGACTCTCATAAATGTTTTCAACTACCACCTTTTCTTCTCTTTTAATTCAGCCCATATGTAAATACCTAAAATGCAATGTGGTTGTTTAAAATAAGACCAATAATAATATTTTGGTACTCTATGTATTATAATGTAAGATGCTTAGCTATATGTTTCTATAATTAGAAAAAGCATCATAATGAAACATGTTACTTTTGTTATAGTGTTTTTCCCTCCATATCCCACACCTGTCCTCCCACTCCAGACTTCATGTTTTATTGTGAACTGACACTCTTGCATGGTGAAGATAATATTACTGATAGAAGCCCATGTACTCAATATAAAGCAAGCAGATTTTGTCACTATCCAATAGGGAAATCATGCAGAGGCTGTCAGTCACACAGTAGGCAAGATTACATTATCAAAATGATACACCTGTGACATATAGTCCAAAATCAAACTCAAAAGGGACTAATTAAAGATAGGCTGGTATATACTCTGACTATGTTGGAAATCATTCCATTCTTGCATGAATATGAAATTGGTGATTTAATAGACTTTCACTTTTATAATAACTCTTATCATCTATGCACTGTCAACAAAATATATATGAGAAAATCTTTTAATTCAACTAATCTGAAAGTAATTCCATTTGGCTATTGAAAATCTTATCTAATATTTGTACAATTTCTTCAGTGTCACCTTAACATACTTCTGAGCTGTCATATTGAACAGATAGGCTCAAAGTCAGTTCTGATGTTTCCCTTTGTGTTCTTAAAAATGAAGAAATGCATTCTAAGCAGTTTGTATTTATGTAAAAACAACAAATAAATACATGCAACAAAAAAGTAAGTTTAGAATAGAGAAAGGTCATCCTCCTATTATGAGTACAGTTCATTTTTAAGAATATAGATAAAAACACTTTAAAATTCTTTCTACAATTCTAAAAAGTTCCCCACAAACCCAGTATCGTGGCTCCATATTCATGGCAAATGATACAAGAATAGGTAAAGTATTATGTGGATACATATAATAACTTTAAAACATAATCTAATAAATCTAACAACTTTAAAATAAAATCAACATAAAAGTATGGTATTTAATGAGTCATAGTTTTATGAGGATAAAATATTAAAAATTCAAGGAATGCTCATTAGTGCTTCTGTTTTACACATTATCACAACTCTTTAGAACAAAGGTAAGGAGGTTTGGGTAAGGAAGTATCTAAAACACCCCACTATAAAGGGGCTATACCTGCACAATCTTGTTATTCAGTGCTTTATTGGGATATAAGTATATTTAAAGATTTAAAGTGCATATTCTCTACAAATACTCTACTGTACTTAGAGTAAGCAGTATAAGTATATGCTGTTTATTAAAAGCAAAATAAACATTTGTCTTCTCAAGTTCATAAATACTGACAATGAACTCCAAGAGTGAAACTTTCAGAATGATGTACATCTAAAACAGATTTGCCCTGCACGTTGCACAACAATATCTAGCAATACCTAAATCTATTGCAAAACAAATTTGCTTTCACTTCTGTCTTCTCTTTTTTTTTTCTTTTTCTATCATTCCAGGAAACTAACTGCTTAGACCTTGATTTCCTCTCATCCACAATTTACTAACTACTACTAACTATCCTTTAACATTAAGACCAAGCAAGTCTTACCTACCCTTTGAAGCCTTTTCAGATGCAATCAGTATGAAATGTTATTGTCATGCTCTGAATTCCTGTAGCCCTTTTTAGATATGCAATCTTTTATTGTCATGTTAACTCTGTTTAAAGCATGCACATCAGATTTCTCTCAACTGGCCAGTTAGTTCCTAAGGATAGGAACAAGAACCCCCACAATGTCTAGACAGTGCATTGCACATGATAAGACTTTTAGAATGAGTATTATGAGTTATAAAATTCAATAAAAAATTGAATAAACTTATTGTAGGAAATAATAAATGGTTCACTTTTCTACTTTATGACTTTCTGTAAATTAACATTCAATGGTGTAAATGATAATTTTAAAATAACAATTGGCTCACTCTTAGATAGTGTCAAAGAACAGATATTCATAAATACAACTTTCAATGATTGCAGTTACACGGTTCATGAATGACATTTTTTAATCACCAAGTATCCCTTAGTTTCAATAGTTTCAGATATTTAAGGTAATGACCCTCAGAGTGGGATTCTCCATCTAAGTTCTAACTTAATATATAAAACTGCTCGTGCCAACTCAGAAAGCTGAGGCAATAGGATTGTAAATTCAAAGCCAGCCTCAGCAACTTAGCCAGACCCTCAGCATCTTAACAAAACCCTCTCCCAAAATTAGAAAAGAAAATTAAAAGGACTGGGGATGTGGCTCAGTCATAAAGCACCCTTGGGTTCAATCCTCAGGACCAAAAGGAAAAAAAAAAAAACTGCACATGTGTTAGTGCTGAAAATATATTTTAAACTAATATGAATCTAACCAAATCAAGTCCTTAACTCAGCTTCTTGTTTCTAATGAACAGGACTGTCAAGAAATGCCACCTTAGGCACAGGGAGGTGGTGCACACCTGTAATTCCAGTTACTCAGGAGGCTGAGACCGGAAGATCTAAAGTTCCAGGCCAGCCAAGGCAAATTAGGAAGACTCTGTCTCAAAATTGAAAATTAAAAGGCTGAGAATGTACCTCAGTTAAAGTGCCCTGGATTTAATCCTTAGTACAGGAAATTAAAATCTACCTTCATATTTTGGTGGTGCTGGGGGGCATGGGGACAAACAACAATTGATAGTTTTTGCAAAAAAAAAATTTGATCAAGCTTCTTAATTAAATCAAATGAAGACAAATCACTCTGACAATAGGGTTGATCAGTTTACTTCTCTGTGAAATAGTTATAATATGGAATTTGAATGTTGTAAGAATATTGTGTTTGGCAAGAACTTAGAAACATCTCAGTTTAAAATTAAGTTAAGGGTGCTGTTCTACTATCACAATTCAGTCAGTAGTTTGGAGTTGCTACTTTTAAGGACAAACAGAAATTTGCTAAGTGACAGACACTGTCCCAAGTCATCTCTAAGCTTCAGGTTATGTCTTTGGAATGTGTACTTATTACAAAGCAATAGAATGAGAAACCAAAACAAACTAATTAAGTTGTAGCCTAAATTAACAGCATGCTATGTCTTCCCTTAATATCTAGTTTTTAAAATCAGTAGAAATATATATAACCTCACTTAGTAGTCTGTTTCTCTCTCCTCACAAGGCTTTTAATAGAATTAGCTTTATGTAAAAAATGTCTACATATTATTTTTAATAGCCTTTAGGAAGGAGGGAGAATGAAAAAATGTGTGATATTTCAGTAAAAATGTATTCAACTGCAAAGATTTCAGAAATGAGAGCTGATGAAACCAAGCAGGTATTTTCTGTCTTGTGGACTCATAGAGGTAAGAGGAGTGGAGACTAGGGCATTAGAAACGTTATAGCGCAAGAGATCTGTGACTTCCAAGGAGCTTATTTTTTTTTTTAACTTGTGATTCTCTGACTTCCTTCATTTTATATTGCAGGTCCCATGAGCAGATGAAAAAAAAAAAAGCAAAATTGCTTCAAATTCTGTGAGACAAGGGGAGAGGAGGAAGAAGCTCAGGATACACTGAAGGAAACCCCGAGAAATTTCACAACTCTTTGCCATAAATAGCCTTTCTTCTCACTCTGGATACCTCCTCCTTTACATCAGCAAGGCTCAGCCTCCACGCTCTGAGAAGCACCATTCACAAATCCCTCTGTCACCCCTTCGTGCACCCCTACCTCTTGTTGGCACCGTGTGTATGATTCCCTGGAACACAAGCCAAAAGATCAGAGGCCTGGGAGTCACCTGCAGTTTCAGCTGAGGGCTGACTTTCTGCTCAGGTGAACCAAGGCACTGATTAGTCCAGAGTGCGAACACACACGAAGAAACACAC